GTCATTTGCCTACTGCCCTGGCCTAATAAAATAGAGGCATAGCTGCAGCAAACAGATCAGCAAGTTCTTTTTTTTAAGTTCAGCGATGATACCCATGTAAGCATTCAGGAAGTCAAGTTAGGCGATTGAACATTTCGATTAATTCATCATCAGGCAATACCATAATATAAGGGAGGATAGAGTTAACGAAAGTTTAAACAACCCATCAACAGGAATTAGGGGGATAAGGGGGAGAGGTCTAAAGGGATAAAAAGGGTCAGATTCTCGTCTTAATTGGGGACCAGATAGGGGAAATGAGTGGGAGGAGAAGGGGAGGATAAGGGATCCGACAATTAATTCGTGCCGTTACGAGACGATCACACCTTGTGTCCTCACACCTGCCAACAAAATGCGAGCCAAGGAGGACGGTACGACACGAACTAATTGTCCGACCTCTTCTCCTCTCCCTCTTCCCCACCCTTTCTCCTATCTGGTCCCCAATTATGACTAGAATCTGACCCCTTTGATCCCTTTACACCTCCCCCCCCTTACCCCTATAATTACTACTGATTGGTTGCTTAAACTTGCGTTAACTCTACCCTATCTTATATTATTGTATTCCCTGACGATGATGAAATAATCGAAACGTTCGATCGCCTAACTTGAATTCCTGAAAGTTCTTTTTTGTGCGTATAAAGCGGCCTAACAAAAGGCTTTTCTCGCATTCAGACCTAGCTGCATCGGAAGACGTAAGGGACAGTTTTGCAGAGTGAATTAGCGGCGGCACGCTCTGTTTGTGCTCTCCTCGCATACACAAAATGTACCCGTTAATCAGTCTCTTTTGACCGCTCTCGCGGACTGCATATGTCCCTGGCTTTATTTTCACCCGCCGTTCAGTCTGGTATAAGTTCTTATCTTGACCACTTGGGCAGTTAGGTGTGGAAAAAAATAGGCTTTTTCATTTGCGCCTTGGTACTGGCTACTTCAGTGCACGCTATATGCAAATTAACCAATAAAATGTCTAGGATTTGGATGGAATAATTACTTTAGGTTTGCCAGGTTATCAGATGAAAACTGCTCCGCTATATTAAATGCTAGATATAGTTTGGGATTACCAGCGGACAGAAAATTTGTGATCTGGGCACACTAGGGGGAGCTATAACCCCTCGGAACTCGCCTTGAGAGTCGGTGCTTTTGAGGACGCCAATTTGGTATGCGGTTAAAAAGTGCAGCCTTCATAAGGCACTCGGCATCACATCCGGCGCACAATAAACATATTCGGCGGTTCATTTCTGTTTGGGAACACACGTTTTCCCACTTTGTACGTCTTATGGATCCACAGCTTGTCTTGTCTAATATCACATTTATCATTACGATTTCTCTGTCTATAAAATTCCTCTGCTTCACTGAATCCTTCAATCCCACTACAGAAATCCAACCTCAGTGTTTACCAACGTATGTGGCAATTCATGTCTTCCAACAAAAATGTCATGATGAATAGCACGAAAGAGGCGATTGCTCGAGTCAAGCGTGGTGGTTACGCCTACATTCTGGAGTCCTCGGTAAATGAGTACTACACCCAACGCAACTGTGAACTCATGCAAGTTGGCAACAACCTCGACTCTAAGGGGTACGGCATCGGATTTCCACAAGGTAAGTTTGGCTTTTTTATGTATTGTTTTGCGAATACGCGGCATCGCCTAGTCTCCAGGCCTATCGCCCGAGAACTAAATGCCACTAGAACCAACCAACCAGATGAAGTTGGCTGAACATAGGCTCATTGCGTGACGGAAAATAATACTAGGGTTGCGTGCTTACCGGTACTCTTCCATTGCGGTTATCTTTGAGCAATCTCTATCTAGAATAGTCCCTTTTCCCTTGCGTTTCGTTACCATGTCCGTCTCAGTCTCATTCAAAATGTTTAGGTTCCAAATATCGTGACTCCTTCTCCGAGGTGATACTCCAACTACAGCGCTCCCAAGCGCTCGAACAGATGCGGAGGTATTGGTGGGGTAATTATAGCATCGTCGAGCCCTGCCACGATCAGCCGAAAAAGAGTGCCGACGCGACCTCGTTGGGTGTTGAAGAAGTGGGAGGCTGTTTTGTCATGGTTCTGATCGGAATGGCTGCATCCTTCCTCGTCGGTCTCGTAGAATTCCTTTACAAGGCACATCAAAGGTCAAAGATCACAAAGGCAAGTTCATACACCTTCCTTCCTATGTTTAACCTGGGCAAGTTTATGTGGCCGGCATAAGTGGCTTTAGTGAAAAATAACGTTTCGTGAATGGCGGTATTTATGACGCCCACATGCTTTATAGCTGCCTTTCGGCCATGTCATAATATGCAATTAGTAGGCTACCACGTGAGATATGGCAAAGTTTACGAAACAGAGCTAATCACTCATAAACCTGTACAAATAAATCAATCAAAACTCTGAGTTAAGGATGCAAGACTTGATGCCAATTGATAACATCAAAATATATTAAAAATCAATTAGAAATACCTACTTCTTAGAAAAGCCCAATCCGAAAAGCGTCAAAATTCGTCCCTAGTAAACGTCATTTTTAATGTGTGGGACGCCTACTCATACAGTTAATTTTCTATTTCATGAGATGTACCAAAATTTAAGAAAGGTTGCTGGTCACTCGTAAACCGGCAGACCTGAATCGACCAATGCGAAAACAAATATACAAGGAAATATTAAACTTAATACTACATTATCTAGAAATATTTTTTTTTTCAAAAATCCAAAAATCTGGAAACGTATATATGGAAAGCCTATATATATACCAGAAAACTGAATAAATAAAACAGCATAGGAAGGAGGTTTGAAAATATACCTTAAGCGTAATTTACACTTTAATATTATTCAAGATAAACCGCTGAATACAACTTAACTTAGATTTTCTCTCATATATGTAAATATTTCGACTGGTAAAATTATTTATAAAAAGGATATTTGGGCAAAATGGACATTTTCCGTAACGGACTAAGCGAATAAATACCGTAGGCACGTAAGGTCGATTGTTTGAATTTCCGCAATCACCTTTCATGAGCTATCAGTCTTACAGTATGTTCGAAATTAAAGATATAGGAGAGATACGACTAGGTTGGTTAATCGATGCGAAAAGACACAAGCAGCAGATCATAATACAGCAGTCGTCGGTTAGTAAGCCCACGGTTAATAAGCCCAGTCACTTATTAAGCCCAATTTGGTCTGGGCCCGAGGTGGGCTTAATAGTCGGCGACTAATGTACTCTGTCTGCTAAGCGAATAACCAGATAAATGAGAAAGACTACAGAATTTAGACATTCAGCTTGTCTTTGTGGGCAACATATGAGTGTACCGGCTAAATTACAATGATACATTCAGGCTTGCCACAGGATCCACTTGTCGGGTCAAGCCTTACGCATATATGGTGTCTCCAGGTAGCGCAGCGTCTCAGATCCTAGCGTCGCACGAAGGTGGACTCAAAATACTCAGGAAATTCTGCTGACTGGAGTAGGGCCTGGTAACGCAGGCTGCCTTCAAACTTTAAGGGATATTTCCACATGGACTCTCAATCAGTTTTCTTGTCTTTTTTCCATCCCTTCCCTAATAGCAAAACGAGCTCGAAAGGAGCTCGTTTTGGCCGCCTATTCTAGCTCGAAACGAGCTCGAAAAATTGAACTTCGTTTTTCATCCGGACAGGGGTTACCTCCTTTCCTGCAAAGAACCCCCATTTTTTCGAAACGTGGTGAAATATTACTTTTTTGAAGACTGTTTGCTTAGTTATATGTATACTAGTATAAAAAGCGGCTTAAAAATATTATGGTACAAAAAATAAAACAGAAGGTTTCTTTGGTCGCTTTTTCAGAATTCCTGGCTACTCGAACGTAGCACTGAGGAGTTCATGGATGGTGCTGGTAGCCCGTACGGCCCTGGCGCATCATCGTCCTCATCATTGCGGCGTATGTCTGAAAGGTGGAAATTAGGAAATTTAGACGTAGGTAGGGAAACGTAACATAACAGCGAGTGACAAGGTTAAGTGTATAAGTTGACTCACCAATTTGGCTTGTAGATTGTGAACACCGCCCACTATGCCGCTGATGCCGATCGTTGTTCATATGCTGTATCTAACTCTTCGACGTAGCAAATATGATATCCACACACGATTCCGCGGCAGGTAACAGTAGCCTTTTATAGCAGGCCGTATGCCAGCAGTAAGTAGTGGGCCAGTGATTCACTCACTCTGCACACTCTGATGGGTAGAGGAAGTTGCTCATATTAGCCGCGCGGCCGAGTGGCTTCAAGTATGAACCCTAGGGCCTGCTTCGTTAGCAACGACCACTGTGAATGCATTCAATAGTCGCTGATGAACTTTCACATGATCGCTAACGGGACTCATCGGTCCCGCTCTGCCTTGGGCCTCGCCAGAAGCCCTGCCAGCCATAACAGCTGGTAGTATAGGCAGATAGTACTGCCGGGATAGACAAGAAAGACTGGAATGGCCATTTCTGGCCTATTAGCTCTCGTTAATCAATCATATCCACTTAGTTCACCTTTCCAGGCTCGAGCTCGCAAACTTTTTTATCAGAGACAACCGCCCCGACCATGGAGTTAAGAGCTCGTTGTCTAGCCGATTTAGGTCAGGGGCTATTAAAACTCGTTGATGAAAGTTCACCCGACCGCTAATGGGACTCATCTGTCCCGCTCTGCCTTGGGTCTCACCAGAGGCCCTGACAGTCGTAGCAGCTGGTAGTCTAGGTAAGTGATATTGACGACAAAGCCCCTGACCTAAATCGGCTAGACAACGAGCTCCCGGCTCAATGTTTAGGGCGGTTAACTCTGATGAAAAAGGTCGCGAGTTCGAGGCTCGGGTGGGACACCACTTGTGTCTGGGTATGACTGGCTGACGACGGCTAATACGCCAGAAATCGCCATTCCGGTCTCCACTGCCTGTGCCGGCAATACTATTTGCATTCAATACTGTTGACTGAGTGAAGATCAAGAGTAACATGCAACGGGTTGCCTTCCCTGGGTCTTAACATTTAGAAGGCACCAGACTCAAAAGACTATAAAGCATTGAGAAAACAATTCTGTTTAAACCAAGGGAATAAATACCCATCGGCCGTGTAAGCGATACTTAATCTTATTTCTTACCTAATCTCCAAAATTAACCTTAACGCCTCCTCCCCTTGAAAATAACGCATGCGCACCTATAATGTGGGGTCGTATATTCTGGTGTCCTACCAGTTTCTGACTAGAATGCACGGTCAGTTAGGGCAGCCCCGCCCGCCCGCCCGCCCGCTCGCACCACTGGCGCCA